AAGGGGGGGGGGGGGGGGAATCAGTGCAGCAAAAGATGCTCTAATTGGAGTTTGGAATTTTGCTTGTTGACATTCCATTCCCATGTTGCATTGATCTAGTACCCCTTAATTTAATGCCTCATTTACACTCTTTTTCTTCTTGTTGTTTTTATTTAAATGCAATTTTGTATACTCAGAAATAAACCTTAGCTCACTGAATTCAGTAGAACTTGTTTCCTGGTAAGTGGCTAGGATACTGCAGTCTTGTAGCACGTCAAGCTGCTTCAAACAGTACAGTTTGGATGTTTAGAATAAAAAAGATCTGTCATCAATTTTGCTCATTGCACCAACATCCCAACTTTTAACCTGCTTGCCACAAAGGAACGGACACCATGATTTTAAAAAAGATGGACAGGCATTTACTTTAACAGTATTTTAACAACAATATCTGTTGAAATGTCTTCTGCTGGGAGAAAGAGATCAAGAGGAAATCTCCTTGTAAAATCATCCCATTTCATTTTCATTCAGCCTAAGAGGGAAAGTTTCTGCAAATTTGGAAACAGTCAGAAAATGGTCCCCAGCCCAAATCTTTGGGAAGTGAGGAAGTGACTCAGAGTGGATCATGAGAAACTGAGGTGTCTCAAGGGGAGAAATGGGACTGTGAACAAACCCTGGAGTTTGGCTCAGAGAAATATAACCAAAAAAGTGAAGGGGTTGCTTCTTCCCTACAAGAAGAGGCAAACGGGTGTAGTAATGTTATGTAAATCATAAAAAGGTAAGGGGAGATGGAATCACTAGGATAATCTCCTTTATTCAATTTTTTATGTAACATTTCCTACATGCATTGATGTATTAGCTTTTTCCTGTAAACAAAGGTCTACAGATTTTAGGTTTACATCTGTGATAGAGAAAGTGGAAAGTGTCTTATTTTCCTGAATTCACTGAGATTTAGTCATTATTCAGAAGAGAAAAAAGAAGATACTTTCTCAATGCAACTTGTTACATGTAATTAATTGATGGAATTTACTAATACAGAATGTCGTGGCGGCTTTGAACTTATACAGGAATAAGGCAATGTTGTGGAAATGACACACTTATTGTGAGAACCATAGATCTATTCTTTAGTAGTGAATTTAAGTGATGAGTTCTGAGAGGACTCAAGCTAAAATAAGTCACTAAGGACCAAATGGGATCGGTTAGCAGGCTTGGAGAAATCCTAAAATGCAGAAACGCAAAGCGAACAAACGCAACCGTGCTTAAAAGCATCACAATGAAGGCTGAACATATTCCATAGCTCTAGAACATTGAGCATCAGTTAGAAAAGGACATATTCGGATGTATATGCAGAATGGACTATCTTGGACAACTGCATGGGGTGACTGGAACCCTGAACAGAAGCACCTCTAACCAGGAAGAAGAGTTATTCTGCAAGTCTTTATTGAAGGCCCCACTTCTTGGTGCCTCAGTAGACCTTCCATACTCTGAGAATGTGTGCCACCCAAAAGGACTTGCTCTGAGTCAGGCTGGATATGACATCTCTTGCCTGCATTTCTTGCTGCGGGGCTGCCTAATGGCTGGCCAGAGGCAAGATTGGATGGGCATATAACCTACATACTTTCACATAAAGAGTTCTCCCAACTGAAGTACGAATCCTTTAGCAACAAAAGAAGCATAAAGTACAGGTAGGAAACCTGCGGCTTCTACAGTTCTTAGCCGCTTTAGCGGGCAGGCCGACTGAGAGGGGTGCTAGAAGTTAGAGGAGGCCCACAGTTCTCCTAAAACAAGAAGTGAATTCTCAGTCCCCTCATCATGTCTTACCAGCCATTTTATGCACATCTGTTTCTGAATGCAAGTGGTTATCATCAAGCATAATCAACATAAATAGCCTTTCCCATGCCTTAGCCCATAACATCAAGATCACTGTGACCAAGAGAGGTATATTTCTTATCTAGAAAATATCTATTTTTTTCTGCCAGAGTTCCTTCCTGAAATCTACCTAAGATACTCTATAAAGAAAATAATGAAATGTTCAGCTCAAAGCTGAAACATTGCTTATTTCTCTGTGCGACACAAACTGTAATAGATATTTTTACCTAATATAAATTATAGTTCACCATCACAAACAGAAATACTTGCTTACACAAAAGGATTATTATTATTATTATTATTTTGGTTTCATTTAAAAATAATGCCTAGCCAAATTTCTCAATTCTTCTGACAGCAAAGAAATGTTTGCCCTGTTCCTCCCCCCGCCCCCCACAGCTCCTGGTCATTACAGCTTAGACCAGATGTTTTTTATTAATTCCGGCTTTTTCTTCGGTTGGTGGTGGTGAATCACGCCATTCACTTTCACTTTGTGGGGGTGGCATGGGGGGG